CAAGTGCAGGGAGCAGAAAAGTAGCTCATCAGAACAATCTCACACAGCATCAGAAATTTAAAAAAACCTCTTTTAAATGCACAGGAATAAAATATGATGTGTTGGAAGTACAGCTGGCAGGGACAGCTTGTCCTGGTTCAACATGAATACAGAGGGAGCTTTTTCTTTCATGAACAAAACAAGAGTCTGAAGCTATAGTGTTTGTATGTATAAAGACATCTTCAGTTACTATTTACTTAAAAGTGGTGAAATGTTCTATTTTCAAATGCTAACTCCTCCCTGTGTTGTTATCTAAAATAAGGGACTGTTGTTATTCCTCTCACTTTTAGACAATGGCTGTATCTTGGTAATAAGAAAAAGGAATATACAGAAAATTATTATTTTCACTAAACATTGATTTTAACAGTTTGGTAGGGTACTTTGATGATGATGACGCAGTTAGTTTAATGTCAATAATATTTTAACGTATTTCACAACTTAGAAGTAATATTTCAATCTTAAATTCTAAGTAGAAGTTTTATAAAATGTGAAAGCTCCAACTTTACTCACAAATTATTATTTTGTGTAGGAAGGTAAAAATCACCACAGGAAAAGGAAGAAAGCAGATCGTGATGGACCTTTATCATCAGAATCTGTATCTGAATCGGATCAGACAGAGGAGGTCAGTGTGAATCCTCAGTTTCAGATGTTACAGTGCTTGTAGCTTACTCATTCACCAGCGAGTGAATGAACTAGCTTAGATTTAATACATTGTTAAAACTCTTCTGCACTGTACAGGTGAAATTGAAGAGTGCAGTGCACTAGAAGTTGTTTTTATTTTTCCTTTTAAAATAAATTTTTAAGGATTGTTTAGCTTCTATCACCTACAAGTAATTTTGAATTAATTTTCTTGAGAATCAACTTCTTATGGATACTACATTTGGTTTAATTTTCTTTAGGTGCAAGCAAAAAAGAAGAAAAGCAATGAGGAAAAAGAGAAAACAGCAAGTATCCCTCTTACTGTAATTTTAGGATATAAATACTCTGTAAAGAAGAATTTTTCGCTCGTTTACCTATCTGTGTGGTATCAAGTAGGGGAGCAGTTTGCCACACAGACATCAGGCCTGTTCCTTTATTAGCATTGTGTGTAATTCCTTGGTAAGCCTCCTCTGCCACCTTGGAAAGGGCTTTGGGACATAATTGCTGCAACATCAATGCCATTATAACTCTTCTTCCAACCAAATAAAAAGCTGCCAGCAACCTGTTACTTTTCTTATATTTTTTATTTGTATCTGTTGGTAAAAGTGAGAGGAAGGTTCAGCAGTGATTTATATAGAATGCAGATTTACCACATGTACCTGAGGTTCCTCAGTTAGGAGTATAGTGGGTTTGGGATCCTAAATGCCCACTTGGGATGTGTTTGTATCTGTCTCCCCTGTCAGCAGCAGTGTTCCTTATCAGGCATCTCAGTTGTCCTCATGAGGTAGGGCAAAGGGAAGGTCTGCATTAGTTACCTAAAAATACAGGCATAGGAGTATTAGTGATACTTAGTACACATTTTTCCATGGAACTTGTTCGTTTTTTCAGACTCATGAACCATTTTCCATAACATTTCTAGTGATTACTTACGGTCTTTTTCATAAAATATTTGTATGTATAAGGAATATGTATAAAACAAAGCTTTAATACTGATTGTTTCATGTATGTAATGCCATACCCATTTGAGAATTTCAGTTGAAATTCTGCTTGCAAAAAGACAAGATTGCATCTCTTAGCTTCTGTATTACAGTGATCAGCATACTACCTTCAGGACTGAATCCAGTAGGGTTAATTTGAATGTATTTATATTTAGAGTTGAGATCACAATTGTTTTATTTTAAACAAGGTACAAGTGATAGTCTAGCCACGTGCAGTTGAGCTATTTAATTTTACACAGTGAATTTAAGTACTTACTTTAAAATCTGTAAACATTCTAGTTATTCCCAAATATGTCACTACTGGTCAAAGCACTTCCTTATTACTTTTTCAGTAATCTATAATGCTCTGAAAATAATTTAAAATATTAGGAAATGTAATAGTGATGAGAGATATAAAATAGCCATACCATGGTGGAGATAAATTTAAATTGAAGACTGCTCACAGTAGTGCAAATTGCTTGGTAAAGTATTTCTTTTTGTGATTTCTCAATAGGCTTTTGTAGAAACTGCTTTTGAAATATCTTTCAAAAGATATCCTTTCTGTGTTCTCGTTTTGCATTAGCAGAATGTAATACTACAATACTTGTAATTATACAAGAACTTCCTTTTTTTTTTTTAGGATAAAACAAAAAAGAGAAAGAAGCACAAGAAACATGGTAAAAAGAAGAAAAAGAAGACTGCTGGTTCAAATTCAGATTCAGAATAATATTTTAAAACAACCTGAGACTATCAACAGAAGTGCAATGACTAAAGGAAACTTAAACTGTGAAATGACAGCAAACTTTACCAAACTGCATGAGTTTTCCTGTGTTTTAGAAATATTCCTAATCTTTCAGTAGCCAGCCAGATGCAGCTGTGCTAGGAAAGACCGTTGTTGTTGCCTGCTGCTTAATACATGAGGTACAATTTTATAAAATTCCAGTAAGTGGTGTTAGATGTTTGAGACAATATGAGATGGTAGGCCAGCTGAGATGTAAAATATTGGAAAATGAGAGTTAAACCTTTTAGATAGTAAAAATAGTATTTTGAAGCATTAGTAATAGTCTTTATTTGTAAATCACAACAAATTAAATCCCAAGTTTATCCTGCAGGTTAATATTATGCATAAACTACTACAAGCTGGTGTCTGCTAATGGAAAATTAATAACATTTAAAAGGCTGCCTTTGTAGAAATGTATATCATTTGCCCCATTACCGTCTCCATGCTTATGAGAAAGGGAATGCTACCATTTTGGCTACCTGAATGGGGTGCCTTTGATTCTTGCAAATCTCTGCTCCTTTTAATCCATGCATCTCTGCATTCCTGGGAAGCTAGAGCTATTGTCAGCAGGCTTTTCTGAATGAGCAGTTTTGAGCTTCCAAGCATGTGCTTCTGCATTAAGCAAGAGCAATGACATTTTTCAGTATAACTGACAGTCAAAACCTGAAGATTTTACCTCTGCTTTTACAAAATAGTGATAAACCTTTGCTAGTAAATATGCATATTTCATTTAATGTAATTTTGGTTTAATTGAAAACTTCTTGCAAACACTGGTAGCTTTTTTTGCATTAGCTTTAGAATTGTTTTGCATGATTTGTACCATTTTTAAATTAACAAAATGCAGATAATCATTTGTTGTAACCAGTTCTATGAATTACATTTCACATGCAGATTTTCATGTATGTATTTAGTTAAGTTCATTGCTGTGTTTAAGTGCACACTTGCTGAAGTTATTTAGCATGTAAAAAGCAGGGTTTTGATACCTTAACAGCTTCATATTGAAGCTGATTTTACTCTAAGCAAGTTCAGTGGCAGATCTGTTATGTGACATGTCTTGTTAGATAAAAAAACTACTGCCAGAATCTCATTAAAGATACTGTTTAAACAGTTTGTATTTATATTTTTGTACTTGAGGGCTACAGAATGTTGACCTAAGTCATAAATCTGTTTTACTTTAGTTTAGTTGCTTTATATAACTGAAAAAAAGCTTTTTTAAATTAAATGTGCCCACAAGAAAACACGAGCAACCATTTGATTTTAGTTTACATGAAATTCTCACTTCTTCACATCTTCCATTGAAATATTGATTGCTGGGCCTTCTGTTAGCCTTTAACAAATGCCCATCCATCTCAAGTAGTCAAATATAGTTTGTATTTTTGATCCACCCCTTTTTTCCATTGCACAGGTGCTAACTTAGAACTTACCTCTATTGCATATGGATGTTTCAAATGTTGTGTTGCCAAGAATTTCTGGACTTCTAAGACATTGATTCTTAGTCTGCAAACTGTAACTAAAATCTGTGGGAGAAAGATGATTTCATATTGCCATATTGCCATTGTACAGAGAAATAGTCTTCAAGTTCTTGGGAAAATACAACCATTGAGTTGCAGCAATGTGCATCTAAACAACAGTAGTATTTTCATCAACTATTTTATACTGTTTGGCTTGATGTTACCAGTTCCAGACACTCTTGTCAATGAGGTTAAAATAAAAGTGATATGCAGTGAACAGAGGGGTTTGATTTGGGATTTGTGTTTAGTTTTGTTGGGGCTGGTTTTTTTCTTTAAGTTGTGGTGTTGTAGTTTTGGTAAAAGAACCATAATGAACCACAGCATAAATGCACTGTCCTGTGTGATACCTTATTTGACTTTTACACAACCACCTGCCACAGAAAGAAATAAAAATGGAAATGAGACCCAGTCTTCCAAATACCTAAGCCGGTATGTCATTTTGATTGTGTGACTGTCACTATCTGTTCTGCTCAGCTGTGGGCTTCGACTGCTGCTGTCATGCTTGGGATAAAGGTGTAGCCGCTTAAAGGGCTTATGGGTTTTGTTGACTGAAAGGGAACTGCTGCAGTTTGCAATAAGTTAGCAAATACGTTGAGTCGCTTTTGCATGCCCTTTTTCCTGAAGGAAAGGTGGAGGCTGGTCTCAGCCCTTCAGCTTTTCCGATGTGCCCACGCCGAGGTCGTGAGACAGTGTCGGGGGTGTTGGGTGGCACCTACATCCACGTTCCAAGTTCCAGCAGAGGGGTAACGTAGAAATCGAGCAATGTTGGAGTAAGAGTGCTTTAATATATTTTTGCCTTCTGACAGCAGATGAACAAGCATTATTGTATGTTGTTTAACTTATTGCATGTTTTTTTAACTTTTAGCTCTTTTTTTTCCCACAAACGTTTTTAAAAATTTGAAATGCAGTTATTTTATTTTTTACGACTGCGGTTTTTTTGAATGCGCATTAAGACTTGCTCTCTGTTTCGCCTGTGTGTGTGTTCACGTCCGGCCCGCCCCTGCGGCCCCGCGAGGCCGCGGCCGCCCCCCACTCGTTGCCGGGGCAGCGGCGGCGGCGGCGGCTCCCGGCCGCCATGAGCAGGAAGCGGATGAAGTTATTGGTGGACTCACTGACCCGATCCTCCAAGCACTGTGAGTCTCCCCCGGGCTGCAGGAGCCGCTGCCGCTCGGCCGCCCCCCGTTGTTCCGTGCTCATCCTCTGCGGCCCTGTTCGCTTCCCAGGAGAGGCACTCGCCCGGCGCCCCCGTGGGAACAGCGGGTGGGGCGGCGGGGGACTTGGGTGTCACGGCCCTGGCGTATCCCTGGGCCTGCCTCCTTTCACCAGCTTAATTTACAACCTGCGTTTGCTTGTGTTTGGGCCGGGCAGTTAACAAAAGCGAAGTGGAATGTCTGGTGAACCTCTTTGACACGCTGGTGGCCAAGGCCAGCAGCCACTTTGCGGGGGCCGGGTTCGACCGCACCGTGTTCCGAGACACCCTGCACAGCGCCTTTGGCCTGACGGATGAAGTGATGCTGGACCGAGGTGAGGCGGGCGCACAGCTCCCAGCACCGTGGAAGGGGTTGGGATGACCGACGAGTGTGTCCGTACCAAACGGCGCCGTCTCGTCCCGGCCAGGACGGCAAAGGAGGAGTAATGCTCGGGAGCTGTTGAGAAAATGGCATCTTTTCTTTAAGCGGTACAGTTTTCCCTTAGTTCAGGAGAGCTCACGCTCTGGTTGGAGACAGACCAGCCAGAGGCAGTCGTGCTGCCCTGCGGCCGATTCTGTCGCAGCCGCTGTAGTGTCATGACAGAAGAGGGCGGATCGCCTTCCTCTTTTATCCGGTGGTTCCACCGGGAGCTGCGGTCGCTGCTGAGTGACAGCTCTAGCTCAGGCCGGGAAGTCGCAGGAAGGCATTCCGTCACAGCGGGTAACTTTGGGAATAGAGGCTTTGTGAACAGCATTGAAGGGCCTGGGCACATAGTGCAAGGAAGTGAGAGAAATGAGCCAAATAACCCCTTGGAAATACAGTGATACCTGTACCAAGGTACATGTTTACAGTCACTGTGAAAGTTGATTTAATGATCTCTGACATAGAGGTGTCTAGAGGAGTTTGTGGAGCAGGCTTGAGTCTGCCGTTCTTTCAGTCCTGGGCTACCAAGAGCCACCCTTGGTTCAACTTTCTCCATGTCTCTAGCAGGAAAACCACTTACATGCCATAAAATAAAAACTTGTTGCAATTTTATGCAGCAAGTCAAGTGTTATCTTGGAAGATACCTCACCTTACACATTCTTAAAAATTATTTTAATGCTTACATGCAAAGGGGCTGATTTCAGTTTGCAAAAGCAAACCTGTTGTCTTCTAAGTCAAAAATGCTTGGCTCTTCATGGAGAGGTGTTCCCTCAGCCAACTAACTAATTAATACTCTAAAATACAAATTATTATAGATGATAGTGGATGCTTTGAATTCAACCTTGGATTTGAATTACTATATTACAGGCTATATGAATAGTGAAGCCATGAGACTGAAAGGTGCTTAGGGAAGGGAAAAGAAAAATATTTTGTTACATGACAGACAGGAGGTTATTTTTCTTTGTATATTTAATATATATGGTTTCTAGGATTACTTTATCCAAGGTTTTCCAAGACAAAACCTAGTAATTTAAATCTTAATCTGTATGTGGAATTATCCCTTACTTTAAGGGATAGTGGTTTATTTGCTTTACATCTGCATGGGCACATACTTCCTGTAGTGATTTAAGCCAGGAAGGCAACAGATCAAACAAAACCTTATCAGGCAGGATTCTGGAGTGGAAGATCAGTAAACTGAGGGGCAGAATCCCTTTCATTGTTACATTTTAGAGTCAAGAATGGTAATCTTACCTTGGTGAAAGCAGACAAACATCTTAAGAAGAAATACAATTTATAATTTTACTGAATTTAAGAAAACATTCCTTTTTTGTGTTTCCCTATCATATGAATTTGTATAATACACTTCCCAGTGTTCAGTACTTTTGATAGAAGCAACACTGGCAGCATCACTGTGGTGGAATGGGTGGAAGGCTTAGGAGTATTACTTCGGGGGACACTGGAAGAGAAGATGAAATGTAAGATTGATCTGTATGCTAATATTTAGTATGAATGAATTAATAACACATTGCTTTTGTTATAATTTAGTAGTTACTCTTATGAAGTATTTGGTAATTTAAAAGTTTTCTTTTGTATAGTTTAATGCAATGAAATTGAATTCTGAAATGGCTTCTTTGAGACAGAGGGGTTTTTTTTCTGTGTAAACTGCTGTTACCACAGGCACCACCTTATTTTGTTGCTTACAAAATCTTGCATTTAAACTGAAGTTTATTCTACAGCATACACTTTTTACAGAATATGTGTTTCTGTATTCAGACACAAAATTAGAAAGAAGCAGATGAATCTCTAGCGTTAATCTTGGCTAATTAACAGTCTCAAGCCAAGCAAGACCAGTGCCAACATTGATTTACTGGCACAGTGGGGACACAGTAGCAGTTGCATTAGCTCCAGCAGTTCTTCAGCTTGGAAGCAGAAATGGAAAAAATATAAGATGGTAATGAGAACCTCCATAATAATGATAAAGATGGAGGAGAAAACATAGCAAGAACTCTAGAATTTTAAGCAGCAGGGAAAAAAATAGAGCATGTGGGGTGAAAAAAACCACAATAGAGAAAGGAGAATGACAACATGTTGTTTTCATAGTTCCCAGGTTGCAGCATTAGCCATCCCTACTGCATTATATAAATTCATCTGGGAAGTGGTCAGGGGTGGTACAGCATTAGAATGTGTGTCCAGGATGTAATTCAGTGTGTCAGTACAACCACAAACAGTAAAATACACATTCCTGCTCCAAGGACTATAGAAGATACTAGTGTGTAGTGATGCAGTGTTGTTTGTCACAAGTGTTTGCCAGGAGTGTTTCAGCACATACATGATAAATTTGGCTCAATTGATAATGCTGTACAATGTACAGTTGACATTTTCTGTCTGTAGGTAAAAGCTTGAATGCTATGTGATTTTAGTTTGTAATCAATTTGAAATTTATTTGTATTTCAAAAGACTGCTTTGCCATTTATGACCTGAATGGTGATGGATACATTTCAAGAGAGGAAATGTTTCAAATGCTGAAAAACAGTCTTCTCATACAACCAGCAGATGAAGAGCCTGATGAGGGAGTTAAGGACTTGGTAGAGATAGCACTGAAGAAAATGGCAAGTACTTACTTTGTGTGATATTGAGGGTCTTTCAAACATTCACTAACTGATACTTAAAACCTTTCTATGAGGTAACAAAATAAGATGTCTTACTTACAGTGGGATTCTGCAAGTCTCCTGAGGAAAGCCAGAAATATAATCCAGATTTAATGAGTCCCAGTCCAGTATTCTCATATGAAACTATTAATTTAGTATGTGAATGTACTACAAACTTTATGTATAAACTAGCATGTGTATATGTGCATACACATTTGTGCATGCCCAGTCAAAGCAAAACTCCAGTCAGAAGTGGAAAACTCGAAAGTGTAAGCTGCATTTATTCCAACAGTACAGGTATCTGCAGTCACTTAATTTTTAAGTACATTTGTGTTTTATCAACTGATCATGAAATGTCTTTATCCAGTTTATGTATTCTATTAGAATACTAAACTCAAGGTGTGTTGGCATTTAAGAAAAAAGGTGGAAAGCACTTACTGTGAAGTCTGTCTCACAGTGCTTAATCCAGAATATCAGCTGGGGACTGTCTGTCAATATTTTAATTGAATCAAGATACATACTCTCCCCTTCCATGGCAGTTGACAAAAATTTTCACTTAAAACCAGATCCTTCATTCCAACCCCTTTTATTTAAGCCCATCTTTTCAATTTTTCAATCCCACCCTTTTTGCCTTAGGTAAAGGCAAGTCACACAAATCTTTTCTGAGCAGAGACTAATGACCTCCAATTTGCAAATCAAACTAAAAATAGAATCTATGTTCTTTAAACACCTTTTAAACAAAACTACAATACAGTAATCCTTTCCTGAAGTGTTCCTTTCCTTTTGCAGGACTATGATCATGATGGCAAGCTTTCTTTTACGGACTTTGAAAAAGCAGTCAGAGAAGAAAGCCTTCTCTTAGAAGCCTTTGGACCATGTTTGCCAGACATAAAGGTACATTAACCTTGCATTAAAAAATGCACAAGCCAATTCCTTACAGACACTTGCACCAATCCTGTCAATGTCAGCATGGAGCATCTTAGGCCACTGTTGGGTTCATCCTCTCAATGCCGGTTCTGCTACCCAAAGGTGGCCCCTGAGCACTCCCACTCCAGGGGTGTCGCAACAGAATGCTGCAGATATTAATCTCATCACTAAGGGAAATTTCAGTCCTTGACATTGTCATCCCAGTCTCTAACATTCCTGTTTCCATCTAGTTTATCTCATTCTGCAGCTGGGCCTTCTTGTCCTCCATGCCAGATCATTCCTTGGTGACACACTCATACTGCTGAGCAGTTAAATAATTTCCCCTTCAACTGTAACTTTGAATGTTCTGGCTGATCTGCCAGTGATGCCACTGTTAATGCTATGGATTTACCTTTCCTAAGCTGAAAAGCAGGAGACAGTCTTCACTGCATACACATTTCAGTTCAGTACCTTTCAGTGCAATACCTTTCTGACTAAATAAAATCCTGTAGTTAACTGAAAATTAACTGTATTTTTGTTTGTTTGTTTGTTTGTTTTTGTAACAGAGCATTATCGCATTTGAACAGAAAGTTTTCCGGGAAACTCCTAAATAAGAACTCCAAATTGTAACTCCATTGCTGAGTACTGTTAAACGGGGTCTTTGTCTTCACCATTCTTCATGATACAGTAAAAACAGTAATAGTTTCAACTTGCTCCTAAGCTTCCGTAGTCCTTTGTGTTACAGCTATTGAATAAATTAATTTACTTTTGTAAGTCTACCTAAATAGAGTTCTTCCCTAAATTATAAAATACGTTACAATATGAGGTGCACAGGACAACACTGCAACAATAATACAGTATATTGGTTTCTTCATTCCAAGTAACAAACTGATACAATTTTTAACAGGGAATCACTGGGAAATACAATACAAATAAAGTTGGTTTTTTTTTTACATAAAAAAAATAAAGTACTTTAAACTATATTCTTTACAAAAGTACTGTTGGAAGATGCTGCCAGCAGTATCTATATTCTTCTTCTCTGCTTTACAAGTGGTTTGGCTGAGCTGCTCTCTGGCTTTTCCACAGACCTTGAAACAGAATCTGCTACCTAAATTGGAAGGGAAAAAATTTAGTAACCTGTAACCACACTTTTTTAATGCTCATTTTAGAGTAAGGCCACATCTCCAAGATTTGAGTATTAGGAAGGATTTATTACTAACATCACACTTGTATTGAATTTTCCTGCTGACTAGAAGAAAAAAGTAAAAGCAAAGGCAGCATTAAACACAAGAGAGGTGAAACTTGGAAGACTTAGCACTACCATTTTTGTATTTAACTACACAAACTGATTTCAGATAATCAGTGATAGAGTGTCATCTCCCTTCTTCCTAACAGAGGTGTTTTCAAGAAAGGTTTAATGTGCTTTATAAACTCAGGTATTTCAGAAAACAAAGGGAAAGCAGAAACATGTATTCTGATGTATTTAAGAAATATATTTAATATAAAGGGCGCTTATTTATAAAATACACACTTTCAAATCATTCTAGTTAGTCAAGGGAGCTTTTTCATATCTTAGTGTAAATGAAATGTTCTATCAAGGAATGTTTGACCTGCTAATTGATTAATATCCTTCATAAAAGGTTATGTAGCTTAACACATGCTTTTCAGCATGGAATTAGTGATTCTGTGCAGCTTTTAATGGCATAAGAAATGCTGGAGCGAAATTACATTGAACTCTGACTTCCATTATTTTCCTTTCAGAAACTAGATACAAGTAGCACACTGGAGTTAGCAGGACTACCTCCAAATTTATCATGCCTTCACGTGTGGGGGAAAAAAAAAGTGTTTTACTAAAAATCATGTATGATCATGCACTGACATTTACACTTTCTCAAGTGTAGTGTAAGAGATCTGACATAGAATTGGCCTGCAATATTCTAGATTGTGGAAAAGTTAAATAGTAAGAGCACTAGCTTTAAGTGGCAGATAAACTGATAATAAATGCTGAATAAAGCTATCAGAGACTCACTATTTTAATGGATAACAAGCACCTATGCTTGAACCATCAGAACTTTAAGAACCCATACCTCTTTCAGTTTATTTCGAATTAATGTAGCTGAAGTATTCAAAGACTCATCATCCATATCCACTTTAGGTATTTCTGGTAGTTGTGGACCAATAACAACTTCAGTATTGTCCTCACTTGTTCCAATGAGGGAAAACTTGTTACCTTCTTCTCTCTTCCTCTTACGTTCTTGCAGGTGAGTTGTACGAGGCATAAACCTGTCAATTCCATTGTAAGCTGGAACCATTCTTTGCTGCATTAAGGAAGCTGGTAGAGTATGTCCTCCTGGATGTACACTTGGAGTTAAAGATGTGTTGTGACCAAAGTACCCAGAACTTTCAGCACAATTGTTATCGTAGTGTGGAGATGTTAACAGGCTCTGATTCTGATTCCCAGATGGGTATGTTGTGTTGTGGGATACCCCAGGAGAACTTGTAAAGCAGGATGGATCCCAGTTACTGGCTACACGTGATCCCGATGTACTCCAAGGACTGTCGTGCTCAGAGCTCTTTGAGGCTGTCTTCTTACGGCCTTCTACTTTCTTTAACACAAAGCAATCTTTAAAACAACAACAAAGAAGCACCTTCACTATTTCATGTCATTATTAGTTTTAACACCCAAGAACAAAACTTTTGATATAAATGCAGAAACAATACCGGTGATATTTGATTCCCAGCTACCTTTCTGTGATATTTTTTAAGCTTCAAATACAACAAATTCAACTTTCAAACCAGTCTTCCAATCTAGTGCCTTTGCTGGCTTGTAACATTAAAAAAACCCAGATGTTTTGATGTTAAAAATCAGTGGGCTTGCTCCCTTTAGCAATCCTCATGCAATGAATATTGTCTAATTATCTAATATTATCATGCAATGATATCTAATATTATCATGCAATGAATGATATCTAAGTATCTGAGCACAGGGAAGAAGCTTGTGCTCAGCAATTTTCATATTCTTCAGCTTGCCCAGCCTTCAGTGCTGCCTGGGAAATTTGTGGTAGGGGAGCCTTTGTAAACACAGTCCATTCTTAACATTCCCTCAGTGCAAAGATGTGGGCTGGAGAAATTTTTTTGAAGGTTCTGGTGTAAGTCATCTTCCTTCTAAAACTCACTTTGGCATGCCTGAGGAGGCTGGAACAAGGGTGAAAGTGTGATTCCAAGTTTCCTGACAGTGCTTTAAATTTCTGGTAACACTTTGAAAGAACACAAAAAGTGAAGGAAATACTTAATAATTAAAGCTTAAGCATTTCACTACTTTAGTCTTAATCAAAGCCAAAAAAATTACTTTGAAATGGATATAGTTCTCTAAATACTGAGAGACATCTCCCTGTAAACATATTTAAAATGCCTCTGTGTTGGGTTTGCACGGCCTGGTTTTTTGTAGCAGGGGGCTACAGGGGTGGCTTCTGTGAGAAGTTGCCAGAATCTTCCTCAGTGTTGGCAGAGCCAATTCCTGGTGGCTCCAAAGATGGATGTGCCGCTGGCCAAGGCTGGGCCAATTAGAAATGGTGGTGATGCCTCAGTGATAGCACATTTAAGAAGGAAGATAAGTGTTTGTGCAGTTGTAACTATGGCCAGAGCAGAGCCAGAACGTGAGAGGAACAGCCCTGCAGACACCCAGGTCAGTGCAGGAGCGGCAGGAGGCACTCCAGGTGCCATAGCCGAGATTCCCCTGCGGGCCGTGGTGCAGCCCATGGTGCAGCAGCTGTGCCCCTGCAGCCCATAGAGGGCCTGGGGGATGCAGGGATCCACACACAGCCCATGGAGGAGCCCCACACCAGAGCACGTGGATGCCTGGGAGGAGGCTGTGATCCTGTGGGAGACCCATGGAGAGAGGGGCCCTGCTCCCAGGCTGGAGCAGCCTGTCCTGGAAGGACTGCACCCGTGGAGGAGTGACCCACGCTGCAGCAGTCTGGGGAGGACTGTTCCCCACGGGATGGACTCACCTTGCAGCAGGTCACAGGGAGCTGTTGCTCGTGAGATGAGCTCACATTGGAGAGGTTCACAAAGAACTGTCTCTGTGTCACCCCACGGTGCAGCAGGGGAATGACTCCTCTCCCAGAGCAGCAGAAGCCACGGGTGAGGAACTGACCATAACCCCCATCCCCTGTCCCCCTGCACTGCTGGGGTCGGGCTAGAGCTGGAAGGAGGGAGTGGTGGGGGAAATGTGTTTATAAGGGCTTATTTTACTTCTCATTATCCTGCTCTGATTTTGTTAGTAATAAATTCACTTTATGTCTCTTAAGTTGAGCTTGTTTTGCCCTCAATGGTATTCGATGATGAATGATCTATCCTGGTCCTTATCTCAACCCATGAACTGTTTGTTAAATTTTCTCTCCTCTATCTAGTTTGTGGAGGGCAGTGAGTGAGCAGCTTTGGTGAGTGCCTGGCATCTGGCCAGCATAAACACACTATAGCACCTTTAAAAGAAGTAGGTAAAAAGTGTTTTCTTTAATGGGCACTTCAGGCAAAACCCCACCCAGCCCTGAAGAACATTAAAATTTTACAGGAAATTTAATCAGGATTCTAAAGGAAATTTTATCACAAACCTCTTTGATTTGTTGCTTTTGCTATAAACTTTCTTCTATCCTGCAACTTCTCTCTAGTTTCTTGGACTGTTTCAAATTCTGGAGCATAGCATACATGCAGCAAACTACCAAAGAAACTTCGTTCATCCATTTTTTTCTTGGCCACCCTGAAGGGAATTAAAGTGTATGAACAAAACTGAGGATTTTACTCCAACTCTCTATAAACTTAACACATTGCAAGTACAGAAGGTGTAAAAGATTAAGACAACAAGAGGCAGGTACTGCCCTGTTCAATACCTTGCACATTGCAGTTTTTTGAATTTTATAAGATACACTTCAGTAAATTGCTCTGCTGGATATTCATCTAGAGCATGATATTCCTCAATGGCACCATATAATGCAAACTGTTCAACTAATTCCTTCATAACACCTAATGCAGGAACTCCTTGTATCAGTAAATAGCGAGATTCCAAATTGATAGTGTAAACCTGAAAAAAACAAAAAACAAAGACTATTCAAAAACACTCCAATTCTTGCTTTATTGCAAAAGGCAGGCCTTTTTTTCTATGTTTTCTGGTTGTTGTCCAAACCCTCTCAGAATGCTGAAAACCCCTATGTACTCTCTTTTGTAGGGCAGTGTGTGGTTATTTGGGACCTCTTCAAGTCACTGAGCAAGAGCTGAACTCAAGCTTCTCAAGCATAGTAAGACACAAATGAGACCTAACTTTTCTGCACAAAGTCACAGTATTACTGCCAGTTGTTGAGTAAAATATCTTAAGTCTCTGGCCAACTTCCACACAAGACACACTCTAGTGACCAGTTCATAGGAGCTACTGTCAAAATACAGAGAAAAACATTGAAAAAACAGTCTTCTTCATAGGCAAAGGAGTTGAGCAGGTGAGGAAAACTGCTTTTTTCCACATAGGGAGTTAAAAAACAATTACAACTCCCTGGGGCAAATCCTGTGCAGAGCTGTCTCTTTGCCAGGGTGATCCAACAGCCTACATTTTTAGGATACACAGATAAAATCTGGATGCTGAGAGAAACAAGGTCTTCTCCCAGAAGGTTAAAAACCAAATCAAGCATTCTCTTCTGCTTTGTGTAGTGACTGTCACATAACAGACATAACAGCAAAGCTTTTTGATGGCTCACTATGTATAACAGGCAGCTAAGCAGCTCATCCCTGGGATCAAAGAAAATTTATTCTGAGTTTGATTAAAAAAAAACCAACCAAAACACAAACATTTAGACTGCAAAGGTTACACATATTTCTCAAAAAACAATATTCTGGACAAAGTGGGAACTGCTTGAGAAATCACCTCTCAAAACTTCTACTATGAAAAGCAGTCTCCACAGGCAGGTCGCCTAAATTTTCTTGCAGCAGCAGAACACTCCCACCTACATTCTTTTGGGAAGAAGGGATTGAAGGAATCTAATGCTTCCACTATGCAATTCTGGGGGTTTTTTTTTGGCTGTTTTGTCCTTCTACCTCTTTCTTGTCGAGGAAAAAGAGATTGAAATAATGTTTTTTCCACACTTGGGACATCCATACTGTTTCTCCTGTGTGTATCCTCCAGTGCCCAGTGATATCTGGATGCCTGTAATGGCCAGAACTCTGTGGATGTACAAGGCTCTCTGTCCGCTGCCCCACCGCATACACTTGGAAGAACATAAGAACTTAATAGCTTTGAGACTTCATGAAATTTTACAGGAGGGTGGTGATAGTGAAAGAGATGTGTCTTATGTGTGTGGGTATGGAGTAACCATTGTTCCGGCACTGGTGAGACCACACCTCCAATCCTGGGGTCAGTTCAGGGCCTCTCTCTAGAATACACTGAGATGCTGGAGCACGTCCAGAGAAGAGCAACAGATCTGGTGAAGGGCCTGGATCAAAAGTCAGATGAGGGGCAGCCCGGCGAGCTGGCGGGGTGTGGTTATCAACCTAGAAAAAAGGTGATTTGGGGAGACCTTATCGCTTTCTGCAACTCCCTGACAAGAGAATGGAAACGGCTGTGGGTTGAACTTCACGATCTTAAAGCTCTTTTCCAACCTTACCAGTTCCTTCCTCACGCCAGCACTTTAAAGTGTCGCTACAGCTCGTTGTACACTGAAGGCACACAGAGATACCCAAATCTCGCAGTTCTGCTGCAGTAAAGAGAAACTCCTAACGCGCAGCAGGCGAGGGCCAGGGCCTCCCTCTCCCTCCAGGAGCCACGGGACTCCAGCGCAGGCCCGGCCGCCCCCCTCCAGCCCCCTCATCCGAAGCGGCTCCGCCCGACACCATCCCCCTCCCCGGCACCTTCACGGCGCGCGGCCGCCACCCCTCGCGGTACTTGGCGCGCGACTCGCAGGCTCCCAACTGCGCGTGGTGCCGGCACGGAGCGCCCGGGCCACCGCTGCTGCCGGCCGCCATCTTCCCATCGCCCACCGCGCCTCGCGGCCCCCATTGGCTCCCCATGTGAGGCGGGGAGTAGGAGCCGCGGTCCGCAGAGAAGCAGCCAATCAGAGACGGACAGCTGGGAAATGCCGCGTCCGCATTGGCTGGCAGTGGGTTGGACCATTGCGCTGGGGGTGGCAGGGAGCAGCCCCCCCCCCCGCCCGCCCCGAGTAGGCGGGTCCGTGCCCGGGCGGAGCGGGCGCGCCGGGCCCGGTGGCCGCGGCCATGTGGGGCTGTGGCGACTCCGGTGGAGCCGCCGCCGCCACCGTCGTTCTGAGCGGGACCCGCGACTGCTTCCTGCACCTGCCGCCCGCGCTGGCCTCGCTCCTCCGCCTGCAGCAGGTACCGGGGCGGCGCTGCTCGGGGCCCGGGCGCAGGGACGCCTCTCAGGCAGGCAGGGAGGATTACGTGAGCGCACCATCCCCCATTCCCCCCCCTCCCCTCCTCAAACCCGCATCCTGTTGCCATAGCGATACAGAGCCCTCCCTTCCCTCACGACTCAGCCCTCCCAGCAGCCGGGGCCCCTCACAGGGAAACATGGGGGAACCTCTCCTCCCCTCGCTTCATACGTGGCCCAGTATCGTCATCCATTCCTAATAAAACGCTGGAATTTTTCTTCCCCAACGTAGTCTGGTAGCGTCTCTCTCAACACTTCCTTTTTCATACCAGATTTCCCCGTAACCTGCTGTCATTAAGCGAATAATAGGTAAATGTTTAACTCGGGTAGGAGAAGAGGTGACAAATCCATGCAGAATCCTTATTCTTGGTGTACATAAATAAAACGTGTCACTACAGAAAGGCACTCCCATCATGCAGAGCCCTGCTGAGGACGCGGCGTCAGCTGCAGGGAGTGCACCTTGCACTGTAAATAACCTTTCACACGTGGAAACGGGAGAGACACTGTGTGCCTCTTGTGCCATGAACACAGAACTAAGAGTGGCAGCAGAACAGGGTAGAAAATGGCAGGAATGAGCCGAGAAAGATGCGAGCAAAGCTCAGGAGTCTTTGCACAGCCCCCTGAGCCTAGCAGGCCTCCCTCGGTGTGGGTAACCACCTGATTTCTCAAGGCCAAAAAGGGCATTTCACAACAGGAAAACAACGTAGGCTTGTACAAACCTGCTCCTTCAACTTTATGTTAGTAGAAGGAGGTTAGTGGAATTGGAAGAAATGCAGTATTAAATGTGAGCTTCATTTCAGCTGCAGTTTCTGAGTGTTTTATGCATCTGCTGGCAAGGGAGAAGAAATAGGAGTGCAGTTGCTTTGAAATCTCATAGTGTCATTCTGTACATTGTTTGTCACGGTGGACTCCTGCTTTTGCTTAACCTGAGTTGCTAAATGAAAAGATAGAATCTCAGAAAACTTGATAGAAATAGCGTCTTAAATACATCTCATGAATAAAAATACTAAAAAAGGGATAAATGGAATCAAAAGCTAAATCCAATTGCAAAAGATGTTAGATAAGTTCTTCAGTTTGACATCAAAATACCTGGGTAGTTCTGAAACAGATTGATAAAATCATTTTGGTCTGAATTAATGGGATTTTTGACTTTTTTTAAATATGTCATGGAAGCACACTTGGAGACCATGTAAATGGTATTATTTTTGTGAAATCAAAGTATATGCTTATTTCTTTTCCTCATTTGTGAAATACAAATGTGCAGTTACATATTTCTGTAAAATATTGATACCTTATCATGCAGAAGAAAATAAATTAATTTTCTTACTTAAAAATAGTCCATAAAAATAGAAAGGTGTTTAAGAACTTAAACCAATGCTCACTTCTGTGTTGAGAGTTGTGGAAACAAGGTGTAAAATCCAGATAATATGTTTAATTCCTTTGATCTCTCTAATCAAATATGTTTTAGGTTGTCTAATAGTCATCTTACTTAGCTGGTTTTATATTAATTTATTTTCTTTCTTTGAAACTCATAGGGTCAAGCTGTGAAAGTATTCTGTGGTCATCAGTCAGTATTTTTGAGCTGGATGGAAACCAGGCACCGAGATCACCGGGGTGAAAATACTGCAGAGATTAACAGACATTTGGCAGAGAAACTTGGCATCACAGATGGAGAACAGGTTTGAAATTCTATCTTTGTTTTCTATTCAAATAAAGAGTATGGAAGATAAGTGAAAAGGTAATACTTCATGAGTTAGCTGTGACCTTGTTTCGTGTATTTAAACAGTTTTTCCATTTACATCTGCTCATGAGAAAAGTTAACTGTCATGAAATGTCTTGGACATGGAAAGATTTGCTCATTAAACCATTAACAATTGCTTAAACAATGTTAGGATAGGCTTTTGGGTGGGTCTTTGCAAGGCTGGAACAACTATCTTCAGTGGCATTAATTTTAAGAAAATACACTTGTAAGCAACTGAAAAATTTGGAATTTGGGAATATTTTGCTTGGAGTTTCTGTTGTTTTAAAGTAGCTGTTGGCTTTCTGCATATTCTTGTTTAACTTACTTGGGGTTTAAATTTTCATCACTTTTTTCACCCCATCACCATATGTCCCTTTCTCTTTGAATATTTGTATTCATCTCTTATGAATATCTGTCTGTCTGTCTGTCTATCTATCTAGCTACTTCTTGTACATTAACTTCTTACCCTTGAACACTTCGTTAAACTTCTCATAAATGACTCTTTCATCGAGCAGAAGTTAGAGATGCCCAAGAGGCAGACAGTTTTCTGACACAGGACTACTAAAATCTCAAAATCAAAAGATTTTTTTTCTGTTAATAGGTAGACATGTAAATAAACAATAATACAAAAGTACTGCTTTACACAAGCAGTGTTATTGTACAATATATTCCTATTTACTTATTCTCTTATATACAAAATTTTGTTCAACATAGAAGAAGACCTCAAAAGAGCAGTGTATTATCTTACTTTGTTTACATTTGTTTACTTTTTTGTTTGTTTGTTTACTTTTAAACATATTTTCTCTAGAAATAATGTATCTGTTTGCAGAAATTTCCAGTTTAGTAATTGAGCAGACAGGCATCTATCCTTTTCAGTTCTAGCAACTAATAACCTTCAACAGGAAAACAATTGACAAAAGAAACCTAAGAAAACCTCACCCAGCTGTGGCCTGGGAATAATCATCTGTACAATCCAATAAATACATGATTAATTAAGTAGTTTCACCATCATTTTGGATTCAGGAGTTACATGCTTTCTGTGTTTCATAATAGAATGATCTTCTATTTGCTGTGGGGGAAAAGATACTCCTCTCAATTATTGCTTCAAACTAAGGATGTAGAGGATTTCAAAACTGATTGTTACTTTTGTTAAAGGCAATGTAACACATTTCTCTCAGAGGACAGGTAACTAGTTTTATCTCAGGAAAAAAATTAATGATGTTTCTTTGAAAATTAATTGCAAGATGTTGTTTGCAAATTGTTGGTTTCTTTTGTCAAATGAAACCTTTGGCAAAAACTGACTTTTGAAGTCTGTATTTAATGCATTCTGAAAGACCTAAGCCACAACAGCTTTTACCACTCCTCTTGATTCACATGATATTAAAACTGTTCTGTGGAGGTGGGGCTGCTTCCTATGAAACCATTCATTAAGGAGCTGGGCTTGCTTTTCTATTGTACTTTTTCTTTATTTTTCAGCTGGTTCTAAGTTTGTGCACAAGTAAATGAATTTTTCAACTTTCTAAAATCCTATGGATTTAAAAATAAAGATTAAAAAAATGGAAAGATGGTTATGTAATCAAGGTGTATTAAAAATTGATTATTTCTTATCACCTGATACAACTCCTGATGCTTTTAATACTCATTGCTTATTGACGTCCCCGAGCCTAATGGGATCCATTTCCCATCCATTGAGCATCTGCTTATGAATTACATAGTGTCGTTAGGATGGTGTGTGTTCCAAGTAGCGAAAACATGAAATGAAGATGTCAATTTTCTAGTTGGAATAAAGATGGAGCCTTTATATATTTATAAATAAGGAGTTAAGTATTTTGCTGTTACTTTTGCCAGGTGTTTCTTGAACCCTGTTCCCATGTGTCCTCCTGTCAGCAAGTAGAAGTGGAACCACTCACAGCAGATGATTGGGAAATTCTGGTAATGAAACCCCTTCATTGTTCATGTTCTTGTCTTACAGATGACAGAGATTCTGACTCTGCATTTTTTTGCACAATGCCCCATTCCTTTCAGCCTTTAAGAAAATACTAAATGTGACGGAGTTTAGTTGTATTTTATATTTCAAATGGTGTATTTGTAAGAGACATACAGTTTTTCTTTCTTTAAACAAATGTTAAAAATGTATGCAGTATTTCATTTATGATGGTATCACATTTCCCCAGGAACTGCACGCTTCCTCCCTTGAAAGACATCTTCTTGACCAGATTCGAGTGGTGTTTCCAAGAGCCATCTTTCCTGTCTGGGTTGAGCAGCACACCCACGTTTACATCAGAATTGGTAAGCAGTACTCAAGACTCTCAAGGCACCTCCAGTAAGCTGCTTTGCAGGGGTAGATGCATTCATTGGCATCTTTTGCTCATACTTAGGTACACTTGTGCCAGCAGCCCCATATGGGAGATTAGAGCCATGCACGGAGCTTCTGATATGTCCCAAAACACACGGACCTGAGGAGAATATCACCAGCACACCTGCCACAGAAAGTGACATCTTTCTCAAAAATTTTGTGAAAAATAACATGGAACAAGAAGAAACATTAAAGGATCCTTTTGCCAAACAACCTTACTTAAAGTCTGGAGTCCTTGAACAGAGTAAGGCTGATGCAAACATGACATTTGGCTCAAATGTTCTCCCAAATATATGGAATTTCATAGGGAACATTTTCTCTAATACATCAGAGCAGAAACAAAAGACTTCATGTGATAATAATGAAATGAGCACCTTCAAAGACAAGCTGCTGAACTTAATTCACATGGATTCCATTTTTAGAGTATGTCAGTCCCAGCCTCCCAGCGTACAGAATGTATCCACCACTCATGAATTTCTGAAA